CTCGAGCGCTTCGGGAGGAGCCGCTCCCCGCGGGCAAAGGGAAACCTCGGGTGAGCGCCCTGCCCGGGGAGCTCCCTTTCTCCATGGGGATTCGCAGAAATCTCTTTTATTCTGCAGCCGGCAAGAGGCAGGAGAACGCAGTCAGACACGAGAAAGACCTCCTGCTTTCCCCACGGCTCCCTGCCCAGAACCAGCTCGGCTGGAGCTGATGTGCGGGCAAGGATGGCTGCGTTGAGCACACGAGCAGGGAAATGGGCTGCTGCCAGGGAAACTGGGGAATCGCCGTAACTGAAAAATCAGAATTTACGCCTTGGCTTTTCCCTAGAGTCTTGTTTTGCAAGTTGTTCTTCCAGAGTCCTCCCGTTGTCAAAGAAAAATCATGTTTGCTCCTAAGGTGCCGACACGATTTGGGCACTTGGTCTGGCTGAAGGACAGTAAATTGCCGAGTTATCCCTGCCCCTCAGCTGTGGCTTTACCATTCTTCACATCTTTGGGGCATGCAAACTCACGGACAGAACAGGCGGAGATTAACTGGGTATTACTAATTGCTAATCACAGAGGCTGTCAGGGTAAAATTAGGAAAGGAATGTTTTATAGAAATGTAACCTGTCTTGCTTCATGCTTCCAGTGTTTGGGTTTCAAGTTTTTGTGAGCTGAGCCTCGAAGCAGATCTTTTTTCTTTGCTGGAACAAGCAAGGTTGGGTTTTTTCCCCGATTTTTATTAGCAAAACACTACTGATCCAGAGGATGGGAACACTAACATACATCTAGTACAGGCTAAATCCAATTAGTGTGTCAAGAAGCCAATTACTGTTCGTGGCAACTGACTGTCACTGAAGCTTGATCCTCCTTGGCCCGAGCCCCACGGGGTGAGAGGGAGAGGAGCAGACTCAGCCCTGCTCCGCTACGGGCTCCGCCACCTCAGCGAGGCTCAGCAGGGACTTTTTTTGGTGAAGGCACCTGGGTTATCAAGATGGTCTTGTCTAGCCTGGACCTGGAGTTTGGACGTGGAAGCTGCTGTTCCCAAGGTGTCCCTCAGCCTGTGGAAAGATCAGTTCAAGCTTTACATTAAGCCAGGCTGGTCCAGCTAAGTTCGGGCTGGCTGTGACTGCCCTTGTCTTGGTCTAAATACACAGTCCCACCAGCCGGCTGTACCAGCTTCTGGCTGAAGGTGTTTACAGTCACCAGCCTGAAGATTGGGATCTCTGCGAAATATGGAAGTCAAGAGCAGATACTGGAGTAAGGGGAGGCGTGAGGCACTAGAACTACGGGCAGCAGCTCCACCTCCATCGTGGCTTCGCCCAGCTTGGAAATTTTTAAAGCTCAGCTGTAAGGTCCCAGTAAATTCACCTCTGAAGCTCTAAGATTTGACTAGGGAGCTTCTGATGTCCCCTCCTCTGAGGTTTCCTTTCTATTTTTCTAAATGAAGTTAAGATGTAGATAACGTATCATCAGCACAAGCAGGAAGCCCTCTGGCTTGCCGGTGATGCTGTGTCTCTCATCCTCAGGTCATGTCCGAGCAGCGAGAGCCTGAGATGCTGCTGTGACGCTCATCGCTGCCGGCCGTAGCGGGAGCTGTGCTCACTGGCAGGGCTATGGGGACACTGCAGAGTAGAATCGGCTTCCACACCTCCAAATACAGGTAAAATAACCACAAACGATCGTGTCTTAATAAACCGGTTATGAGAGCAAACAGAGAATTGAGAATGTAGCAGGCACACGGTTTTAGTTTTATTATTGAATGCATGAATCAGATTTTCATTTCTGACCCTTGGTTCTAAGGCCTACTCAGCCTCTCTAGAATGAGACCCAAAAGGCAGCCAAGCATGGAAAGCTGGCCGGTGGCCGTGCTCTGTGATGGCTAAGGCAGGCAGCTCCAGGGGTGGCTGTTTGGCCCAAATATCCAAACTGCTTCGTTGTCCCTCCAGAGATTGTCATCAGGTTTCACCAGCAAGATGAAGTAACGCAGTATCTCGCAGGAAGGTGGGTGATCTCTGCCTGGAGATCAGCTGAGAGCCCAGGGTGGCAGCAAGGGGGGACTCGGGCTCTTTGGCAAGGCTGGGTCAGAGCGAAGGAAGGCAGCAGAGCCAGAAAGGTCGTAGTGGAAGCAAAGGCTGGTAAGATGAAAATTGCTTTTCTTTGCAGTAAACATCTAAATATTTAGCAGCTCTAGAGGTAGAGTAGGTCTACTCGATCTCACCTAGCCCAGGAGGTGCCTTTGTCCATTCACAGCTTCTCTTTGGTTTTCTGAAGGCAGATGTTGTCATTCCCCAGCCCAGGCAGTGGTGCCTCTCCCAGACCTCGGTCTCCCTGGGGAGCAGCACAGTTGCTCTGCCTTAAGGCACCTGCAGCTCCTGCTGCTGTCTCTCTGCCCGCTGCAGGGCCGGGGGCTCCGGGGAAGAGACGGGACCCGCTCGAGCAGGGCAGCACGGCCCCACGCACGCCGACGCCGTCACTTCCGTGGCCGCTCTCAAACCAGACCTGTGCGTATCAGGAGGAAGGGATAAGGTGAGGCACCCCCACCACCACGGGGCACGAAGCACAGTCACGGGCAGGTAAATGTATTGGTGGGATGGGAAAATAAGGTTTAAATGTGAGCTTTAAACATTTCTGTAACTGGTAATGACTTTTGTCAGTTCCTGAATTTAGGAAAAAAAATGAGCTTAAAGCGAAGGCACACAGTGAAGCACACTGAACCAAATTTTATAGCCCTTCCAGAGCTCAGATCACATCAAATGATTTTATTCAGGGTTGGAATCACTGGACCGGCCCTTCCCTTATGTTACCTGGCAACAGACAGGCTCTAAAGGCAGTTGTATAAGCTGTAGGAGCTCAAAACCAGGAGAACCTGTTCCCTTTCCAAGCCTAGACTGCGCATGGGTCTTGGCATCACGTAACCAAGAACGTGCATAATCCTCCTTCCGCTGCCCTCCCGCTGACTGCCTCGTGTGCCTCCCCGCAGAGCGTGGCTGTTTGCAGCTGGAGATCCGGGGCCGCCCTGCGCCGCTTCGTCGGGCACGAGCGGGAGGTCACCAAGGTGAGCGACAACCCATCGAGTGCCGTGGGGCTGCCCGTCAGGAGCCGGGGAACTAGGAGTGACGGAGCAATGGTTTGTCACCCACGGACGGCTCGCTTTGCTCCACCAGGACGAGGGGCCGGGCTATTAGAATGTGTTAGGTTTTTCCCAGGGTCCCAGCTGATACTTTTGCTATCCAGGGCAGCAGCACAAAGTGGTTGCATTTGGACCAAACAGGGTTCCAGGAGGCTTGGACGTGCGCTTATCTTCCCCTCCAAGAGACTGTGTAGCAAAAACTCAGGATGAATTATTAGGTTACATTTTTGATTCAGAGATGCCTTTCACTAGATTCGTCTTTATTCTACATATTGGCCATGCTCAGAAAAAATCAGGGCTTTAATTTTCCTTTTGACAACCTGATTGCAAAGCCAAACATGCTACTTGGACAGCAAACGCACCAGGGTGTGTAGATGTGAGCATGGTGGGGCTTGTGCCCCTCCGGCTGGGGACCACCCTGGTGGGTCCCCGGAGGGACAAAGGGTGCTTTGTTCATCCTGGTGCTCAAAGGAACCATGCCCTGGGCTCATTCGGCTTTTTCAGGGAAGTTTTGTCCATAAAATTAATGGTTTCTGAGAACAGGATCCAAGAACAGCTCACTAGTCCTGAGAGGACGTGACCCGCTGGTGGGTCGCACACCCCTGTGCCCGACGCTCCCTCGGCGCAGGCTGCAGCGATCGCGCTGGGGCCGGGCGGTTGCATCGGGGTTTGCGTGTGGTGGGGATCCAGCAGAGCAGAGGCAAGGTGGGATTGCAGCGCGAGCATTGGGCGATCCAGCCCCTCTGCAGCTGGCGGAGTTGGGTGGTTGGGCTCTCCCCAGCCACGTCTCGGGCTCTGCCGCGGCAGCATTGGGCTCTCCTCGCACACAGCCGGGCTGGGCGGCTAACCCGCTTCCGTTTGTCCTTGGCAGGTCGCTTCTGCCCTTGACTCAAACAGAGTCTTCAGCGCATCCCGAGACAAGACGGTGATGATGTGGGAGCTTCACAGGACTTCGGGGCCAAGCCAGCACTTCCCAGGGCATGAGCTGGTTGTGACCGGACTGGCTGTGAGCCCGGGTAAGGGCCAACACGCTCCCGTTCCCTGGGGATTTCTTCACCACTTTCCTTGAGCTTTTTTTTATCACGTTAACTCGTGGTCGCAGATGCCTCCCGGCTGTGCACAGGCTCGCGAGACAACACCGTCTGCAAGTGGGACACAGAGACTGGAGAGTGTCTGGGCAGAGCCGCTATCTCCAGGAATCTGGTAGGAGCTGCTGGTTCCTCGCATCCCGTCGTGGCACCTCACCACCCACTCGGTTATTTCGTACGTGAAGCCGCACAGAGCGAATTTGCTCTGAGCTTGGCTCTACAAGAAGCCCTCAAGTCACTGCACAGGTTGCCCGTGCACCTGGGGAGACCAAAGCCTCAGGGTGGTTGCTCTGTTCCCCGGGGTAACAACTCCAGGAGCACAAGAGTAGCAAGAGACGTAGGGCAGTTTATTGACGTGAGGAAGCACTGACCTGGCAGCGGAGCTGGTAGGGGTCCCAGCGGTGGGTACCCCTATTCCCATGGCTCTGTGTCCTGTTGAGCTGCTGGTACCTCCCTGCCTGCCAATAATCCCCAGTAACCACGCTGGGATTGAGCCTGGTAAGGGAGCAGCAGTGGTGGGAAACAAAAAACAACTTCATCCAAACGTTTCCTGCTCATAAGCCAGCGTGAGGAGGGCCCTTGGAGGCTGCGTACCCACAGGTGGGCTGCACGCAGCGGTGGGCTTCTCTCAGCCTTTCCTCTCCGCAGGTCACACATCTGTGCTGGGTTCCTGGGGAGCCTTACATCATCCAGACATCAGAGGATAAAACAATCAGGTAGGTTTTACACGTGGCTACAGAGAAGGGACTGTGGAAGATGCCAGTGCACGAGGGGCTGTTTCTGCCCACCTGGTCTCCCATCCCCTGCTGGGGTGGCCAGAAGCCACCTTCTTCCAGCTCACCTGGGTGTCAGAGAGTGGCCTCTTGCCAGCAGAGGACAGCACTGGGTGGTGACTGTCAGTAAAAAGGAGAATTTAAATTTAAAAAAACCAGCACAGCTGCTCTGGCTGGAGCTTGATCCAGGACAGATAAACGCAAGGATGCAGGGAAAGCTGTGGGAGCTCGGCTTGCAGGGAGGGAACCTGCCCCACGCAGGGTGGCAGCAGGGGCGCGCGGGAGGGCATGGAGGGAAGCTCCTGATGACAATGCTGCATTGGTGTCCCCGTTCCCTGCTTCTCTCCCTTCCAGGATCTGGGACAGCCGGGAGCTGCAGGTGGCACACACGTTTCCAGCCAAGCGGCACATTCAGACGTGCTGCGACGTGAGCCAGGACGGGCGGTACTGCCTCAGCGCCAGCAGCGGCTCCGCTGGGGAGGGCGGCGAGGCCACCGTGAGTTTGCTGGGCAGCAAATCCTGCTTTCTGTGGTGTTTTCTCCTGTGTCCAGGGCACACAGCAGAAGGCAACTCAGCAGTGCTCCAAGGATCTGCTTGCCTCTGCTGTGCTGGCTTTACGCTGGTGTCTCCAGCCAGGACCGGAGCTCAGTGTCTTCCTGCCTGTCCCTTTGTAGGTCTTCTGCACAGACAAGGTGTGAGCAGATGTTCCTCCTGACTAAAGCACTGGGGTTTTGTTTCGGTAATTGCATCGAGGAGCGTGAAGTTCTTGCAGAAAGTCTCAAAGGGACACTTTCCTCGAGGTGTTTCCTAATCAAGGATTCGGTCCTACAGCTTCTCAGCCCTGTGTGGGAGTGTCAAGAGGATGAAACCATCCCATTGCAGGGAGAGCGGGGCTGAGGATGGGAGCAGGAGCAGGCTGGAGATGCGGTGATCTGCCTGCAGAGTCTTAGCCCATCAGCTCTAAGGGGGGTGAACTTATGCGCAAATAGTCACTCATGAGGAAAAATCCTTCGAGGTTTGAAGTTCTCCAGGACTGTGAGCACGAGCAGAGACAAAACCATCCAAAACCATCTTCCTTTCTATGTAAAACAGCTCCGTGTTGGCAAGTGACAGTAACGGAGCCTGAGCTCTGAACGCTGCCTGTTGCCTTGCAGCTGTGGGACCTTCGGCAGACGAGGAACCGAGTGCGTGAGTACAAAGGGCACTTCCAGACCACGACCTCCTGCGTTTTCCTTCCACGGGGCCCAGCTCTCGCCCCCAGCGTTGCCACGTCCTCATCCGACAGCACCGTGAAGGTCTGGGACCGAGACACTGGAGGTAAGGAAGGGTCCTGCCCACTCAGTGTGCCTTCCCCTGGGATAACAAAACCACTCCCTTTGTTTCTGTCTCCCAGTGGGGATGAGCACAATGAAGCCTGAAATCTCTGAGTTTTACTTTAATCCAGCTGCAGGGCAGGGTGGAAATAGTCCAGAGCAAAGCCAGGTGCTCCTGCTTGCTCTCCAGCAGAGTGTTTGGGTGCACAACATCAGAGATGGCAGGTGTCTGTCCTAACCTAAAAGGAAGCAATGACAGGACGGCCTTTAAAGATACCCCCAAGTTCAGCAATGACGAAAGGGCAAATGCTAAAAGTGACAAAGAACAGGGGAACTCCAGGGCTTTCCACAGATAGAAGTAGAAAGTTGCAAAGAAAAGAAGTGGTGCTGGAGGAGAGAGGGCTGGTCAAGCAGCTGCCCTTGCTTTGGTTGTCCTCTTGAAGGGGAACTGCAGGTGTTTCAGGGTTAACCCTGCTTGCTGGAGGGTTGGGTGAGGGCTGAGCCCTGGCCTGGGCTGGACACAAAGGCTTTTACCTGCCGAGCCCTGCCACAGCAACAGGCTTGTGACGCCTTGCGCCGAAGGCACAGACCTCCTGGGAAGCAGTTCAGGATCACAGAGAGGCTCTGGTACAGTAGAAGTTATCAGGATGAGACACCCCCTGTGGCTAAGCACCTCTCCAAACGCACTTCACGTAGGATGAAAATAGAAACCTGGTGACCTCCCACGGAAAAGCTCTCACCTTGTGTTTCACTCACCTCTTCCTTCACCCCGGTGCCCACACACACCAAGGTGGCCACGGGGCTGG